GGGAGGCCAAGCAGGGAGGAAGCTTTCCACAAGATCTGAAAGGGAAAAACACCGAGAGTCCCGTGGCTGGAGGGGACAAAACAAAGGATGGAACAAAGGATGTTTGTTCAGGAGCTGGGCAGCCCTGCAGGAGGAGCAGGGAGGGACGGCCAGGGAGCCCTCGTGGCTCTGGGTTGAGCCTGGCTCTGTTGGGCTGAGCTCTCGTGGCTCTGGGTTGAGCCTGGCTCTGTTGAGCTGAGCCTGGCTCTGTTGAGCTGAGCTCTCGTGGCTCTGGGTTAGGCCTGGCTCTGTTGGGCTGAGCTCTCGTGCCTCTGGGTTAGGCCTGGCTCTGTTGAGCTGAGCTCTCGTGGCTCTGGGTTGAGCCTGGCTCTGTTGGGCTGAGCTCTCGTGGCTCTGGGTTAGGCCTGGCTCTGTTGGGCTGAGGACTCGTGGCTCTGGGTTAGGCCTGGCTCTGTTGGGCCAGGTCTCAGAGGGCTCCAGGTGTGGGAAATGAGGCTCTGACTCACCAGAGCTCACCCTAAGCAGGTAAAGCCTGTCCAGACTCAGGTCCTGCTGCTCTTGGTGTTCTCTGACCACAGAACGGACAAGTTCAGGCAGCAGCACCTGGAAACAAATCCCTCATCCCTTCCTGCAATTCCCAGATCCCCTGGATCCCTGGATCCCTGCAGTGCCCAAGGCCAGGCTGGACACTGGGGCTGGAGCTCCTGGGACAGGGGATGTGTCCCTGCCCTGGCTGGGGTGGCCCTGGATCATCCTTAGGGTCCCTTCCATCCCAGCCATTCCCCGATTTCGGGATCTGGGCACTCTCAGCTGCCCAGCTGAGCCCCAGCTGTGTGGGAATGGGAGACTGGGATAACATCAGGACAGGGCTGAGCTGCCCAAACCTGGCCTTAAGCTGGGCCTGGCTGAGCTTGGCTGGGCAGGAGCTCAGTGCCAGCCAAAGCCTCACCCTGGGAATGGAACCGCTGGTTCCAGGTGCCATTTCTGTCCTGCCCTGGGGACTCGAGGTCTCCTTCGCCCTCCCTCGCCATTCACTCCGTGCTCAGGCGGGTGTGAAACGCTGATGTTCCATTGAATTCCCATTCATTAATTAATTCAACTTAATTTAATTAATGTGGCTTTTCTCAGCGTGTCACGGCCACGAGGGCAGCGGCGAAGTCAGATTTTAAATCCCCTCGTCCTGTGGTTGTTGGAGGCAGCAGTTCCAGCTGTGCTGCAGCAGTTCCAGCTGTGCAGCAACAGTAACTCCACCTGTGCTGCAGCAGTTCCAGCTGTGCAGCAGTAACTCCAGCTGTGCAGCAGCAGTTCCAGCTGTGCAGCAGCAGTTCCAGCTGTGTATCAGCAGTTCCAGCTGTGCAGCAACAGTAGCTCCAGCTGTGTATCAGCAGCTCCAGCTGTGCTGCAGCAGCAACTCCAGCTGTGCTGCAGTTCCAGCTGTGCTGCAGCAGCTCCAGCTGTGTCTCAGCAGTTCCAGCTGTGCTGCAGCAGCTCCAGCTGTTCCATGGGATGGGCTGAGGCAGGAACAGCTGGCGTTCCCTGCGCCCCTGGCACAGCTCTGGCCTCTGCAGGGATCCTCACACCCAAAATAAAAGGGAGGCAGCAAAATGTCCGGCTCCAAACGGCCCTGAAAGCGCCAGGATTGGTGTTAATTAGATCCACGCCAATTAAAAGCCGCTGTGGGGCTGTTTGGTGCCGCTGGGGGTTCTCGTTTTCAGCGGGAACGCGGCAGGATAACGGGGTTTGGTGAGGGTGGGTGGCACGGGGGGCTCAGCATGTCCTGCACAGGGCCCTCGGACAGGGATTTCTGCAGGAATCATCCCTGGATGAGCGGGAATGTTCTGGGGAGCGCCGCCAGCAGCCCCTAAACGCCGCTCCCGCTGCTCCAGCCGCACTCCA